ATATATATATATATACGCGATATACCATTTGGGTAATGACTTCCTAGCAAGCAAAGACTACCTGGAACACATTCCCAACTAAAACGAGAAATTCTCCATACAGTATGTGCAAAATGCACACACCTATGTGCAAAGTGCACACACCTATGTGCAAAATGCACATACCTATGTGCAAAGTGCACACACCTATGTGCAAAGTGCACACACTATGTGCAAAGTGCACACACCTATGTGCAAAGTGCACACACCTATGTGCAAAGTGCACACACCTATGTGCAAAGTGCACACAGCTATGTGCAAAGTGCACATAGGTGCATATACTATGTGCAAACAGCATAATTATACTACAAACAGACAACACTTTAATTCCGGACTGACTCTCATTCCGGACGACCTTTAACCATTAAGACATTATTATATTACCCGCTGAAAGTTGCGTAGGTATCATCGATACGCTGTAGGTCCCCTGGGACTAGGTCAGTTCTGCAGAATTCTGCATTCGGATGCAGAATTCTGCGCAAAATTCTGCATTCAGGTGCAGAATTCTGCAACCCAAATGCAGAATTCTCTATCCAAATGCAAAATATGAAGGAATTTGCAATGCCTTATTTATTTTATGATGTTAGGAGAGTGGACTCACACTCGTCCTACATTGTGTATGTGTTTGCTACTAATCCCTGTGCTGCAAAAAAACATACAAGACAGGACATTCTGCCAAGTACCTTGAAAGGGCTGTGCTGATGCTTGTGTATTGCGCTTACAAATCTTAGATTGCTACTGGCCTGAGCATTGATAAGTTATGGTCCCACCCACAGGATTGTTAAAACAAACAAATCCTTAGGGCTGGCCCACACTCCTAGAAAATCTTCATTAGTCACACCAGGGCTCCTACCAAATCTGGCACACATGTACATGCATGGTATGTATGTGCCTGCTAAGTACCTTGATGACAGGTGTCCTGTCCCTGTGTATTAACTCTCATTGGAGCTTCTCCCAGCAGCAGGAGTCAGGCTATCCGACCAAACCCAACTTTGACACCCAGTCAAGCAACCCCCAAGTTGGCATAATTACATTTATAGGTCATACAGAAAGAGAAGAAGTGTTTTATAGCAGTTGACTCATGATTAGGTATTTAGGCAGACCCATCTGAAACTTGATAGTCAATAGTTCAAAATGTAGTTTGGATATAAACCACATAACACAGAACAGTCATCATCAAACATGCAGATATCCCTGGTTGTTTAGTACTGCTCTAGAATTAGTAGAAATATCCTTGGTGCCCGACCTCAGCACTTATATATGTATACAAAAATGTAGCGGACGAAAGCTACAAAGGCTGACACTCGGGCTAGTAACCAGCAGTATTCAGTTGAATGAACCATAAGGGAAATTCCATTGACACACGGGGACGAAGATTTCTGCAGAAATCTGCAGAATTCTTTCTGTGCAGAAATCTAACTTTTTAAAAAGATTTCATACTGTGAAGTTGTCCCACAAAATGTATCATTTATGGTGATAAGTGGTAGATTCACTCCCCTAAATGCTACTATCACTAGTATCAGCTTATTTTGGGTAAAAATGTCGGAAATGCCTATATTATTGCTTTTGTCCCACTTTATGACAGCCCAATACCTTGCAATTTGGCATGTGGATAGCTTTGCATAAATATTATGCTAAGATTTTGCTTTCCAAGTTTTTTTATTCAAGTCTTGCAAATGGTTTTATATAGCTTATTTTGGGTTAAAATAGTAAAAAATCTGTCCAATGATTTTGGATTTGGTCAGACATATTCTCTGTATGTTGTGCCCATGACCATGACCATGACATGCACACCCTCAAATTGTGCTTTTCTCTGACACCAAGGTTACATGTATACTCTAAAGGAAAAGACACCTTTTCACAGGAGATCATGCCAAAGCCAGTAGGGGCCAAGAGGGGCCAGGCCGAGGAGGGCCAAGGCAGGATAGACTTACTGTAACAGGAATGCAAGTACATGTGTGAGGGCCTGCATGGGGGTGTAGTGATTACGAATTGCGCAAATTTTCTCCGCCGACTACGAATTACGTCAAAGTTTCAGAGCTGATCATGACTTTACACTTTGCAGCTAGTGTATTATTGTGAATTACATTTTTGGGGAGGCTGCCTACAGATTATTGAGACTAAAAAGGCCTGATTATGCCTTACAATAAAGGGCATGCAGGCCCTCATGTATAGGTCATCTCTTGGACCATCCAACTGAGGAAAAACGATTAGTTCTGCATGCCAGTATCACACTTTCCTCCGATCCTGTTCATAACATTGAATACTCATTGCTCATCAAAGCTTTCTGGAACTGCACATAACAAAAATACATGTATGTGAAGAGTGAAAACTTGGCACAAGGTTGCTGGCTAACTTATTAATGATAGCTGAGCAAAGCTTCTGTAACATCCAAACTGTGATGTACACAATTGTGACCTGAAGGTCTGACCTCTGGCTCCCCGTCCCAGTGAGAGGTACATGTAACCACGCAACTCAGGCAGAGGAGGCAAGGCAGATGTTTTTTCAGGGATGAAGTTACATCTTGTTTGATCCCATATTTGGGTCTGAGAATCCAGTTCAAATCATCCTTACTAATTTATGATGTCAAACCTGGAAGTGGAACCTACGTGTACCACTACCACACAAGTTACAAATCTATTTTGACAAAAGGATAATCAATGCAAAACTCCTACAGGAGTTATAGCAATTCTACCAGGTCTGTTGAGTTGGACTGGGGAAAATATTAGAGCCCTGAGCCTGCCCTAAGCACCATAGACTGGTTAACAGAGATGTCATTGTTGTAAGATGTACATGTAGATGTACTTTCCATCATACTCTCATCATAACAGGTTTTTGTCTGACCACCTACATGACTTTGTACATGTAGCCCAATTATAAACCCCAGCAAAGTCCACATCAGAACTCCCCCTAACAACTTTGAACAAGGAGAGCAAAATATAGGGGGGATTTCAGTGTTGTATTTCAAACCCTGGTCTGCAGAGCAAGGTGAATGTTTTCTTTCAATCAGTGTGGGTCCCAGGGAGAGAAAAAACAGGCCAGGCTGGGTCATCTGGTCTACCAGAATGGATCAGTGCAACACTGTAGGTCTTGCTTCAGTGTCTCACCTATTCAATGTACAGGCTAGAGCTCGATGCTGGGTGCATGTGCACCTTGGAGCTGCATGTGCACCCAATTTTTTTATGTGGGTGCACTCAGGTATTATTTGCACTCAAATATTTTCTCTTAATATATATAAATGTACATATATAGTAGTTACAACAATAATCCAATCATCATTACAGTACTTTTCTTGAAATGAAACATAATTATAGTTTTGCAGACATTCTGCTTATTTCATCTTACAATGTATATGGTGCACCTAAAATATTTTTGTTCACCCAATTTTTTAGGTTGGGTGCACCAGTGTCTATTCCCAAAAATTAATTTCAAGCCCTGATGTATATGCCCTTGTTATAACAGCAGATTTTTCTATTGTACACAGTTTTAACTTGCATCCAATCATGCAATCATGTGTGAACGTTACTTGACAAGACAATTATTCACTCCTCTCCCTTGTTTTTTTTTTCACAATTTCCAGAGGAAAAGCTCATTTTCTTGTCTTTAAGTGCTACTTTGTTCTTCCCCTCCCCCAAGAAATATGTCCCCCGTCCCCTACCCTCTCTAGATCTACTTGGCTACTCTACTTGACCTGGCTAGTCAAGGAAAACATAAGGGTCTCGTGCGCGTACATGCTCATATACATGTATGTGGATCCTGTGCAAAACTGCTCACTATTCAGAGCATAATCTGACTACGCACTCTCTTGTTGTGCTTCCAAGGGCTCTTTTTATGTAACTGAAAATCAGAGGGACCATGTGGGGATTTGATTTAATTGCTAACTCTTCATTGCAGTAGCATATGTTAGCCTAAACCAGAAGTATGGCAATGTCAAGGAAGGTTGCAATGACTGTTATCATGCATCTGAGACCAGATATCATTTAAGAAGAGTATAGAATTAGCTTTCTTGAGATTACTTTACATGTATGTATACTAGAGACACACTCA